TATGAGAGAGGCCCAAGAAACCTTGTTTGCTCCTTCCTCCATGTGAGAACACAGCAGAGAAAGGCAACTTCCATGAGGAACAGGCCTTCACCAGACATGCAGTGTCAGCACCTCAACTCTGGATTCCCAGCCTGCAAAACCCTGATAGACAAAGGTGTGCTGTTTATAATAAAGTTGCAAAGTACAGTATTTTGTTATAGCAGACTGAATCCACACTCCTCCAAATTCATACACTGAAACCCTAGTCCCCAAGGAAATAATATGAAGCGGGGAGCCTTGAGAAGGCAATTAGGTCATGAGGGCACTCCCCACACATGCACTTGTAACAGGAGGCTCCAGAGACAGCTCCTTTCACCATGGGAGAAACAGTAAGATGCCTTCTATGAACCAAGAAACAGGACCCCAGGAGACACCAAATTTGTAAGTACCTTGATCTTGGGCTTCTCAGCTTCCATTGACTTTTTTTTTAAGAGAGATTTTTGCTATAGGGCATGTGAGCTCACTGGAGAGAGAAAGAGAAACAGGAGACATAAAGTGAGAAATAACCCTCCAGGGCAAATGGCCATGCCACGGGCCTTCTTCTCCATTCTCTTCTCAAGATCTTGAGCATGCATGCACACAGGCCTGGCATGAGTTTTAAGTTGCCAGGTCTGGGACTCGAACTGCATCGACTACGTGGGAGGCCAGCACCGTAACCATTAGGACATCTGTTGGTCCCTCCATTGACTTTTTATAAGCTACCCAGTTCAAGGTACTCTGTTACAGCAATCTGAATGGACTAAGACACTCAGTCTGGGTCTTTCTTCATTCATTGCTAGACATCTGGTCACTTCAGCCTAGGAACTCAAATTCCTATGATCTAAGTAATTTTAACATTTGTGTGGGATGAGCAATTTTTTCTCCTTTTCTGTCGATCTCCTCTACCCTCCCCCTCATGGAATTCGTAGTAGGCGGTCAAATATTAAATTACCTGAGGTGATTCTCTTATGTTTATTTTCCATCTACTGGGTTGTTAGAAAAGTCACGATGCATTTTTTCTTTCCTTTTTTTTTTTGGAGAGGTTTTTGCTATAGGGCGCGTGTGCTCGCCAGACAGAGACAGACAGAGAGACAGAAAGTGAGAAATCATCCCCCGGGGGATGGCCACGCCTCAATCCCTTCTCCTCCATTCTTCTCTCGGGATCTTGGGCACACACATGCGCCCAGTGTGAGTTTAAGCCACCGGGTCTGGGACTCGAACCGTGGTCAACTACGTGGGAGTCCAGCGACATAGCCATTACGCTAACTGCTGGTCCCCAAAAGTCACTATGCATTTTTGAAAATGTAGCAAAATATGTCAAGATTTTTCCAACAACCTAGTATTTGTCTTTTTTATTTATTGCTTTTCATTTGCCAGAGGGCCATGTGCTCACTGGAAAGACAGAAAGAAAGAAAAAGTAGGAAAATCACCCTATATGGGGGATAGCCACATTGTAATCCCTTCTCCTTCATTTCTCCTTTTCAGAATTTGGGCATGTGTGGGACCAGCAGTTAGCGTAATGACTATGTCGCTGGGCTCCCACGTAGTCGACCGCAGTTCGAGTCCCGGACCTGGTGGCTTAAAACTCACGCTGGGCACATGTGCGTGCGTGCCCAAGATCCCGAGAGGAGAAGGGATTGCGGCGTGGCCATCTCCCCTGGGGGGTAATTTCTCGCTTTCTGTTTCTCTGTCTCTCTCTGTCTGTCTGGCGAGTGCACGTGCCCTATAGCAAAAAAGCTCTCCAAAAAAAAAAAAAGAATTTGGGCATGCGCACACATGTACCTAGTATATTTCTCAAGCCACTGGGTCTGGGACTCCAGCCATGTGGGACCCAACTGCCTTAACCACCATGCCATCAGGTAGTCCTTTTTTGTCACACTGCAATCCCTTCTCCTCTCGTGATCTTGGGCACGCATGCATACACGTCTGGTGTGAGTTTAAGCCACTGGGTCCAGGACGCGAACTGTGGTCAACTATTCCCCCCCCCCCCTTTTTTTTGAGAGGTTTTTGTGACAGGGCATGTGTGCTCGCCAGAAAGAGACAGAGACAGATAGAGAGACAGAAAGTGAGAACTCACCCCCCAAGGGGAGATGGCCACGCCGCAATCCCTTCTCCTCTCGGGATCTTTGGCACGCATGCATATGTCTGGTATGAGTTTAAGGCACTGGGTCCGGGACTCGAATGGCGGTCGACTACGTGGGAGTTCAACAACACAGCCATTACGCCATCTGCTGGTCCCAGCTACCCCTGCCTTTATATTCTACTTTCTGGTAATCACCTCAACTTTGCCTTCTAATTCTTCCATTAAATATTGCATATTTCATTTTTACAGTATTTAAAAATATATCCAAGAACTGTATTTTTTTTTTTTAATGCTCCTCTCCACCACTTTTTCTGCTCTTACTCTTAATCTTCTATTTCTCTAGGTTAGATTAGCCTGATGGCCCTGGAAGCAGAGCCTGTGATAAAAGCTAATTTACAGGTAAATTGGGGGGAATGTATCCCCAGGAAAATATAAGAGCATGTGGACTGAACAGGGGAGGAAAATATTTAAATAATAAAAATATGTAGTAGAGACTTGGTAAACACTATACAATTGATTCACAATGCCATGTACTCTCTGAGAACTACTTTGGAAACACAGCTAGAACTGTATTCCTATGGGAAAGAAAGATGTGTATATTCCACTCACGGGAGTCAGAGTGGTGCTTTTCCCCTCACCTCCAAATTGTGAACACATGAGTTCCAAGAAAGTTCCAACATTCCAACTGGGCAGCAAAGTTCCAGGGCTGAGAGCAGAAGGTCATTGCCAGGGCCCAAAATAAGATAATGTCTGGTAGCAGTTGGGTAGCACTGGTCGAGCGTGGAGAAAGGGGTGCTACTGCAGTAGCCGGAGTAAGTGACTTCACGAGGATTTGTAAGTGATACGTAAAGTGATGTCTGATATACTGGGAATAGTGATGAAAATTTTTGATTTTTAAAATTTTTTCCTATCACTTTGGTTATGTCGTCTGTTTTGGTTTCTACTTTCTTATTAGAGGCTCTCCTCTAATGCTTGATGAGTTTTTGGCTGTCTGTTTATGAGCAAGGCCCTAAAAACCAGAAGTTCTGTGTGCACAGGAATGGCCATTTCTCGCCAGGGCTTTCGTGGGGGAGGTGCAGACGATTCACATTAATGAGAAACCTTAACACCTCATTAACTGCAGGCCTTTTCTCCCGGGCAACTTCCCTGGGGAAGAACAGGTTAGAATGAACTGCTTACAGGCAGCAGGGAGTCAGGGAGAGACTTGGTTACCGACAACCGACAACCGACAACCGGAGCTGAGGGGAGACCGGGCTGAGAACCCAGCACTTTGGAGGTGTTTGGGAGTAACCTCCTGGCTCTCAACTCAGTACCCCTGCACTCTGTTGTGTTTATACCTGCTGTCTCCCACAGGGGTAAATGAAAGGCAATTGCTGGGCTACTCCATGGCCTGGTGGTTAGGAGAGCTGGATCCCACATGGCTGACTAAGGGTTCAAATCCCAGCCCCAGTAGCTTGAAAAACATGGTGTGTGTGTGTGTGTGTGTGTGTGTGTGTGTGTGTTCACCAGAAAGAGAGACAGAAAGCAAGGTATCAACTCTAGAGAGTGGACCCTAAGTAAATGCTTCAAAGAGAGTACTTGGGGATGAGGATTAGACCTGTTAAGAACGCTGGTCTGACTGGAAAAGGAACTGTACTCACAGCTCCAAATACGAACATGTGGCCTGGCTCTGAGAACTTGGACCAAGTGAGTGATAGGGCTTAGGAGAACACTACTTCAGCTTTGATTTAGGGGTGGGACAGTCAAGTGGCCACCCCAAGGGCTTTGTGTTCAATGTCAACGAGACATTTGCTGATATTATTTTTCATCTGGGCAAGAAGAGATGAGATACAAAGCATAAAGCTATTTGTATAAAAAAAAGATTCTGGGGACTAGCAGATGGTGTAATGGCTATGTCGCTGGACTCCCACATAGTTGACTGTGGTTCAAACCCCGGACCCAGCAGCTTTAACTCACGCCAGGCACGCGTGTGTGTGTCCAAAATCCCAAGAGGAAAATGGAGAAGGGACTGTAGTGTGGCCATCCCCGATGGGGGGGTGATTTCTTCTTTCTGTCTCTGTGTCTCCGGCAAGTGCACGTGCCCTATAGCAAAAATCTCTAAAAAATAAAAAATAGAAATAAAAAAGGCTTTGCACTTTTTAAATATATATATTTTAGAAAAAGATATGTCATCTTCCACTCTAAACTTCATCCTACATGATAAATATGCCATGAGATACACTACTCTTTGTGAGATAAAATAACTTTCAGCATAGTGCAATGAGTTTCTGAATATCACAAACATGATTATAAATTAAATAAATCAAAATTAGCAGCTGTTTAACAGTGATAAAATATACTTTTATTTACTTTGTTGGGTCAGAGGGTTGTAAAAAAAAATTATTGCTAAAGTAGATAACAGGCAAACAGAAAGGTGCTTTAGAAGTCCAGTTACCTTGGAGTTTATTTAAACTAAGAGAAAAAGGTCATGTTTTCATGCAATACATACTTGGTTCTTTAAATAACAATTATGACAAACAGCAGAAAGAACTAAGGAATGCTGCACTTATGATCCATACAAAACACCAACATTTTGGGTCGTACATAATTAAAGAAATATCTCAAACACCTTTTGAAATACTGTAGTAGCCAATACATAGAGGCATGCCTTTGACGGGCATAGGAATGCAGTTTAGAAAAGAAAAAGAAAACCACACTGTAACCACTCAATTTCTTTAAAATCACAGAGCAAGAGAAGCAACATTGAACTTCCATACTGATTTTACACGATTTCTATACAGTACCTTGACTTAAATCCAAGAGCAAAAGGTGAAACTCTCCTCTATTTTTGGTAAACAACTGCATGGTAAACTTAGATGGCTTCCCCTGGATTTTACCTGGGAGTGGCCTTTTTAATTTTTTATTTAAAAGAGGGCAGGTTTGGCACTTTTATACTGATGTCACCAATGTTAATATTTCGTGGGATCTCAGGAAGATTCATGTTCTTTACAGCTGATACAGCGCGGGCTGGAGCGCCTGCTAAGCCAGCCTGTATACAGAAGCAGATAAAAGAAAAAGAAAATGTACAACTCAGGTGTAGTTCATCATAAAACTCTACAGTGGAAGACAGTGATAAGAGATTTTCATATAACAAACTTTGAGACCAGATGGTGGTTTGAATTGGTATGGGATGGTTAAATACTAATCTATAAGGAAGAAACAGTTTGCACATTAGAAAGTACAGTGAATACATGCAATGATAATGTAAATATTTAAATACAAATTAATGTGTACTATGTAAATATCACATACAATATTCACAATATGAAAGCTAACTCTTCAGCTGTATCTTAACTGACATATTTAATAAGCATGAGGTATACTTGACACTAGTTTCCTTATAAAACATCTCTTGCCAACAATCGTGATAGCTTTCTGGGCTTGTTTTGTTTTGCTTTAGAAATGGCATTTGCAATATGTGCTGTGAAATGAAAACAAAGTAGTAGGTAATACTTGTTTAATTTTTCTTTACTCAGGGCTAAACCCTTAGAACATTTCAAAAAACTAAATAGAATTATTTTTTTCTTCATAAATTGGGGGGGGCTTTTCTAAACTTTTAAAAGAAAGTTCTAGAACACTTTTAAAAAAATTAGGCTTTTAAGTGAAGCCCCAATCCAAAAAGGGACAGTTCTGCCAAAAAATGAAACTGCAGGAAGATGATAATTCTACCCTTTGATTCATTAGTAAAAGCACGATGATGAAAAAGATTCTGTCGTATAAAGCAGACTCAACAACATGCTCGGTTTGCTGTGTGTGAGCGGAGAGAAGGGAGGTGTGCATGGAAGCCAGTAACTGCTAGAATTTCCAGGGAGTACCACAGGACATAATAACCAGCTTTCCTCTTAGTAGGAAAACCTGTCATTTGTGAAAACATTTTGAAAGAAAATATGCTTAAAAATGAAGAAAATACAATGTATTTTCTCAGAGCTGGTGGACAGCCTCCATATTTCAGGCGTGGTTTACATACCAATCAGATCTCCTTCATTTTAGCACTTAGGCTACGTGTAAATAAAGCATCTCCAACAAACACATCTGAGTTCAGTGGCATCATCTTGCGCAAAGTAGACAATTCAGTAAAAATCTCCCGCTTTGCTTAGATTACATTTAAAAGACAATGTCTATGAAACTAAAAACACTAATTTTAATGGCTCTTTCCATAATTTTCATTTTTTCCCCTCTTATGTACTCCTACCTCTTTTGTTAATTAAAATAATAATAATAATAAAGCTGTTACCTGAGAAAAATCTTGACTGATACAAAATAGGCCAGTGTAAACTATTTGCTGAATAAAGGATACAAACATTGTTAAGCAATGAAATAAAAGCCATGGATTATCAATTCAGAATTGGAAATAATAAAAAAATCAGTATAATAGTATTCATCATAGATATGGTCCACACAGGCAATGATAAGGGTGATATGGATGAAAAACTCCATACCCAATTAAAGACTGAACAGGCCTGGAGAATTAAATTTTTATAATTTAATGGAGGTTAGTTGTTTGTAACGTTCAACTAAAATCTGATTAACCTTTAAATTTATACCTACCTGCAGCAATGAAGTTATTGCTATACTTGCCTCCTGCTCTCCCAAAAGATGTTGGGGATACACTGATTATTATTTAGAGTAGCAGGTATCATATTTGAAAGGGTCACATTTGATTATTTGAAGTCAAGGTCTTAGCCACCAAAATTTAAAATGGCTTAGAATCAGAAAAGAATCTAGTTCAAAGTGATTTACCACCCTGTAGGCTTTCCTTCACCAAGAAATACACTGTCTGCCAAGGGAACAAAAATTACCTTACAAAATTGCAAACGTCCTGGAACTGTTTTCATTTTTCCAGGTAGAAGAATTTTGTAATTCTTCTTCTTAAAAGACCAAGTTGCCATTATTTTTACTTTGGAATTTCCACACAGGGTACAAGTGATGAGTAAACTACAGAGAAGTAGTGATAAAATATCTGAATATAAGTACTTGAAGTCATGAATTAGAGGATTTTATTATTGCAAAAGAGAAACAGAGAGAACAAGAAAAAGAGAGAGTTTGTGTATGTGTGTATATATTTTTCCAGATATGGCTTATATTTACAAATTATAAACATAATTTTCTCAGCATTAAATTAACGGTCATGAAGCCTTCTTTTCTGTAATATCCTATACCGTGAGCGAAGTTAAATTTAAGAAAAGGAAATGGGAATAAAAAATGCACCCTGTTAAGTTTCATTATATTAAGTTTTCTTTGTGACCAAAGATGGTGTCAACTGTTGGCTGCTAATGAGAATACATAAAGTCAATATAGCAGTTGATTTAAATAGCACATATGTGGCTATGTCTTTATCATGTAAAATCGAAAAAACTTTCTAAGTACAACAGACTATAGTTCTTCGGAACATAAGCAGCAAGCCATAGACATGCAAGGGATGGGAACTATTCAGAACACGCAAATGAAGTAAGAGAATCAAATTATTTCTCAAGCATGTTCAATTTGTAGTACGTCATGAACTGAAATGGTAGGAAATTAAAGAACTGTAATAAGTTTAAGTCTTAAACTAACTTTAAGCTGTAAACTAACATTTTAAGAAATTCGATTCTACAAAATATAAAATGTGAAGAGAAATACTAGGACCGGGTGAGGATGCAGACGTGTGAGTTACCAACGCTCACACACACGGACCCATGGACCTAACGAGGCTTCATGTTACTCAGGAAGTCAGCAATGGCGTGGCCATCAAACAAATGTTCAGACTTCATGAAAGTGAAGTCTGAAACATTTTTATTAAGACAGAAAATGTAAAAGAGGTAATCTGCCATTAGAAAATCAGTTTGTTGACAGAGTATAATTTTTGTCTTGGTTAAGGTTTTTTTCTTCTAGTAAGATTTGCTACAAGTAATAAGATAATTTTTACTCACACAACTTTTTCAACACTACAGAGATTAAGATGACTTGTCTTGTTAGTAGTATATACATTTTAAATTGTAAAAATAAACTTCTGACAGTACAACATAATTCTTAAAGAATTAAGATTACATAGTTGACACTAAGCAAAAATAAAAGAATGAAATTTTACTGGAGAAATAACTTGTTTCCATCTATGTTATACTTGAGCACCACCATGGCAGGTAAACTGCAGCAACTCCACTCACAAAAACAAATATATGAATCCAAAGCAGTTAAGGTATGAATTGGATGAAAGAATGAGGTACAGTATATAAAAGAATGGTCATGTTTTCTCTCCCATGAGATCAAATAAATGAACAGAATTAAGAGAAAGAAAACAAAATGAAGTCTGCAAGTATACCAAAATGAGGCCAAACAGATAGAAGACTTATACAGACATACTCTTGGAAATTTCAAGCACTTGAATCACAAAGATAGTAATGGATGGATATGATTTGTTTTTGATTTTGTTTTTAAATTGCCAGACCCAAAAATGAACAAAATATGTGCAAGCAAAACTGAAAAAGCAGCATTACTAAAATAATTTCAAAGAACCTGAAAGTTCCCTTTTCCTCATGCAATAAGCAGTTAGTGTTCTTGAAGGAAAAAGGAAAGTAACAATTGAGTCATTTATTTCACTGAAGACATAAAATGCCATCCTACCATCGCATAATATTTTTTTTCAAGCTTGAAATATGGTATAAAAAGATGGTAGTTGCAGTAATTTGTATCTACTAAAGTCTTTACCCGCCCTTCCTGCTGGAAATGGCTATACAGCACATTCATAATTTTGAACTAACAGCAAAGTGAAAGAACACCAAAATTAATAAACACAGTATTAAATGGTTTCAGACTCAAAATCATTAACAAAATAACAGCAGATTTTGAAAGCAAGCTCTTGAGTAAAAAAAAAAAAATTTATATTGAAAGAAATTTTTTTTTAAATTTGTCAGAGGGTGTGTCTGCTCACCAGTGAGAGACAGAGAGGAAAAGGGAGAATGCACCTCCAAATGGGGCATGGTTGTGTTACAATCCCTTCTCCTCCATCCTGTTGAGAATCAGGGCATGCACGCACACATGCCAGGTTAAGTTTTTGAAGTGTTTGTGGGTGGTATTCAAACCATGCAGTCAGCCACGTGGGATCCAGCTCTCTTAACCACTAGATCACAGGGCTGGTCAGGAAGTTTCAATATTTTTATTTGTGACCACAAGGCATAGCAACTTTTAATCTGGGTATTTATAATAGGCTTGTCCTTTGCTTTAAATGCAGTGCTTTAATGCTGCAATTCTAAACAGTAGAAATACTGATCACAATCCACGAGTGAGAAAGAACCAGCATTTTATACTTCATCAAAACTCGAATGTTCACAAATTGTAAAGCCTTCCAAATTATTAGTTATTTTATGTAGATTATCTTACAGTTTTCATTTTTAACACAGAATTTGCCTGTATGAAAGAAATACAGCGGGCTAATCATATTCATCGATTTATTATTACTAGCTTTGACAATGACGTAACTTCAGAGGTCTTCACTGTAGTTTTCGGAGTCCAAGATAAATGTGCTCGTTGAGGCAGAGGAGCAGAACCCACTCATGAGCTGGCCTCCAAACACCTGAATCTTAGGGCTACTTTTCTTACTCTCTACTCTCGGAAACCAGATGCCTAATTTAAAAAGATACTGGAATGTAGGAACTGGCAATGATTTCAATCAATGGAGTTAATGAGACCACTAGAGAGTTTCTACACCAGGGATAACATAAAAGATAGGGACCACAAGTGGCACCCCAGCTTCATGGTACAGTCCACGATGTCAGATAAGATACTGTATCTTACACATCACCTGCATGTTGTTACTTCTCAAACACATCCAGAAAGTAATAATTTAACAGCTAAAAAGAGTGCCGAATAATCAATATTTTCCTAATTAGTAATCTAACTTGAGATTATTTTATATAGGACTCAATAAATTATTTTCACTTTGAAATTTTAAATGGAAGCCTATAATCACTTTTATTTTGCCTATAATCATTTTTTTCCTCAAAATGATTTTGTACAAAATAGTTGCCCATCACCATCTATAGGGATTACTTTTTAAAAAGCAATTCACACAGTTAATTTATGTGTGGGAAAAATGTACAGGGAACACAAGAAGAAAAAATAGTTTTGTAAAGCTAATATCTATTAAAAAAAAAAAGCATTTCCAATATTTGCTAATACACTTTGCAAAATGATCAAAGATTATAATATTTTATTGATTTTAATTATGACATGCTTGGATATCAGAGATTTGTTATGGTGAAAACCCACTGTATTTTGGTTAATGTATTTAATACCATTTACAGAGCATTTAATTCAAATTTCAGAAGATTTCTCATCTTATTTTGTTGGCCACTGTAAGTATGTACCTGTAGGTCAAAACTATAAAAGCAATTCTGTTAAGACTTTGGAACTGAAAACCATTTGTGGGGAGAGGGACAGGTAGTGCTATTAATATCCCTAATTCTAAGCTTTTACTGCCTTCCACTTTGAATGTGAAACTCTAAATGTTCAGCTTTTGGTTTTTAAATTCACAGCTTCCAAAACCCAGCAGGCATTTTTTGGTTAGAACTCTAATTTAAAGGAGGGGGAAAAATCTGTGAGAGTTAAATTAAGATTGGTTCTGCTATATGACACCCAAAATAAACTCTAAGTTCTTACACACAAAGTAAATTGTCATTTCTACAAATGCAATTTGTCAGTTAAATGACAATGTTTTAAAAAAAAGGAACAAAAAATTTAAACTCTCCTTTTACAATGCAGGCAGACAAAACAGAACAAACATGACATCAATGATATACTAGTAAATACACTAAGTCCAATAAAAGATGGAGAAACTACAAGGAGAAACTAGAATGGAAAATAGGCTACAGGGACTATATGGGTTCATTAACACAAAGAATTTTTGAGTCTGGCCTAAATAATTAATTGCCTTTGACATCATTTTGCTTTCCCTTGGTTAAAGTACATTTTTCTCAAAGTCAGCAATACCTTGTCTACCTGTCCTGTCTGGGAGACTGAAAGATAAAGGTCTGTAAGAGAGAAGAATGGAAAGAGCTAGAAAGATCAGGATGTTCAGAAAAAAGGACTGACTTTTAAAATGTAGTGACTAAATTCAGACCCATTATCCACCCAAGCAACAAATCTCCCAACCCCACCCCCGCCTCCACCCCAGGGAGTCCTTTAATTCAGACCCCTGGGGTGTCTCTCAGAGTTCCTCAGAACCCCACCAACCTCCCGGCTTAAATCCAAGATGCCAATGTTACAATAAACCATCTTTCTATCAAAACAGAACCGATGAAAATACACGCGGAAGACATCTCTGCTTTTCCTCTCTTTACCATCTGGGAGATCTTTGCGTCTTTCTGTTTAGGTACTGGGAATTAAACTGGCTCACTTTCTTCCATTACTGGAAACAGATTACCTTTAAACCAATGTAATGATATCTTTGATAAAGACTTCTAGGTAAGTCCATGTTAGTATATCTTAATTATACCTACGCTGATTTTTAAAAGATAAATGCTAATCCTAAAGGACTACTTACAAAAATTTAAAAAATAAGATAACTAGTTCTCTTCACCAATCATGACATTCTGGATTTTAATTGTCTCCTTGGTAAATTTTTGTTTATAGAATAAATTTTAACTGAAATTTAGTAAGACTCAGATTAGTCAAAGTTTGTACTTCACTTTCAGATTATTTCAGACTATTCTGCAGAGTCCTATTTGTGGTAGATCTAACCAGGTGAAATAACATGCAAATGGAATGCAGAAGAAGATTTCTGACACTTCAAAGTCTTGAAAATAACCCTAAATCAACATAATTTTCAATACTATTTCTTAAAATGTGATCAGGACTAAATGGCCTCACTATGATTAAAAATTCATCACAACTAAAGTAGCGGCAGGTATCACATGTACAGAAAACACTTCATAAATGTGTCATTTTGTTCAAATTAGATTTACAACGTATTTTCTTGTACAGGACAAAAAGAACTAATTTGAGATCAGATAATAGCTGATTATACATGTTATAAGATCATTAGTAGATAAATAATAGAAGTATTTATTCATCAATTTTAAGCTATTTTAAATAGCATTATTCCTATAAAAGGATTTTTTGTTATATTAATATTCTTATAAATATTTCCTTTGAAAACGTAAATTCTGTATCCTACTGCTCTTCAGAAATAACAAAAACTGTCTAACAAATGTTCACCCGGCAATCAAAAAGCAAACAGATGAAATTATAAAAATTATAAGTCCTTCAAGACTTTTGTCAATATCATACAGAGTACTAAGGAGCAAAAGAAAACAAGAGATCTAACCAATGCAAAGGAGATAAGTACCTAGAAATGTAAAATTCCACACAAGCGGTCAATATATTTTCACAGATGAGTAACAGAATTCATAAAATGCCATATATCCATTCATTTCAGAACTATTAATGGCTTATATTACTGTTTGTCCCTTAGCATCTAAAACCTACAGTTTTGCAAAGCAATGTTTAGCAAATTACATATATTTCAAGTTATAATTTTAAGACTTCAAAAACTAGTTTGGGGTTTACAGTAAACTTCAAGTTGACTATACTAAGTAATATCCTCAGTCCTTTTCCTTGTCCTAAAATAGAATTTTCTCTATTAAACTAGTGTTTTCTC